ATGCACTATCTCCCTCACATCAAAAAAACCCCAATAACACTGGTCTTTTGGGGCGTATCCCCTTCAATTCCTGACTGATACCTTACTAGGAATCAGTGACAGATGCTTCACTAGGCCTTTATGCACTTTTTTCCTTCTAAAGCACTGATAAAACATTCCATTTATGTACCTGTGGGGCGATAAAAAGAGGACAAACAAGGGTTCCTGACCTCAAGAAAAGTATAATTCAATAATCTCAAAAGAGTTCAAATAAACCTCATTTTTGAAAATTATTCACGGGAGCTTGCCTATACTTCAAACACCATGGCTATTTATGCCTGCGGGCATTTGGAAGGCTCAGTAAGCCTATAGGCCGGGAGTCCTTTCTTCTCGGCAGGAAGGCTCAGCATCATGAAGCCTCTGCAGCCCTAGGGGGGAGACCGTAACTGCCGCCTCTTTTGCTAATGCACAGTATGGGACCAAGTGACAGCAAAACCCAGCTCTCTTCTTAAGAGCAGAAGCAGCTCCTATTCCAGTTTACCTATTTCAAAAACACAAACTCCATATTTCACGACTTATTTTCCATTTTTTTTTAGATGAGAAGCCTTTGCCTTTTGGTCTTATCAAGATAAGACAATCCAACAGTAACAAGATCTACACTGAAGTGTGACTGCAGCACAGTGATAAATGGCACAATTACATGACATCAATAAGGACAACTGATTTAAAAAGACCTATGTGGTGTGGCTAACTGTATCAGCAGTTCGAACTCACTAGCTAACTGCTCTGAGGGAGAGATGAGGCTTTCCACTTTTAAAGACTTATAGCCTCAGAAACCCACAGGGGCAGTTCTGTCTTACAGGGTGACTCTAAGTCAGAATCAACTCCATGGCAGCGAGTTTGGACTCCCCACCACAAGTTCAATGATTTAAATCCACCAACCACTACTCGCTTAGTGGGAGACAGTGGAGGCTATCTATTCCCATCAAGAGGCATAGCCTCTGAAACCCTACAAAAAGTCACTCTAAGTCAGAATTAACTCGGTGGGACTGGTTTTAGTTTTTTGTGGGACGAAGGAGGGGTTTGAGCCGGTTAAAAAATCAATTATTTTAGAGAAGTATTCAGAGAAGTAGTTTGCAAAGCGTTTTTTCTTTCACTACAACTCTCTGATCAGGGAGGCACTGGGAACCTCATTTAATAATGATAAAATGAGCTATGTGAGGCACAGTTAGTAATAAGGCCATCATCTTTGATCCGTATTCTTGGACTCATGCAATCAGCTGTCAGATCCTGTGTATCTATCTCCATCCCTTCCCCTATAAGGCGCCTTCACAGCTGCTCAGATCAGCCCCACCTGATCAACTCCGAGCTTTAAGGTTCTTTTCCGAATCAGTCTCCCCGTTTTTCTACTCATCCACAAAAGAAAAATTTTCTGGGAGAACAATTTCTGATAATTTCCTTACTCAAAACCCTTCAATAAAGTCCACATCACCCAGCCTGGCATGCAATCTCCTTCCCATCTCCGCTCCGCTGACCTCCCACCTTACTCCCTGCCTGTCTCCACCACATCAAAGCTCAGTCAGATAGGAAACATGCTTTTGCTCAGACATTTTGATCTTTCTCATCTCTCCTCTTTGCTTTAAGAACTACCTTTAACTCTTCCTGTAGCACCTCTGTATCTTCAAATTCTAATCACTCTTAAGACCCAGATCAAAGCCTCTCTACTAAGCGCTTCAGCATTTTTTCCTCAGAACACCCTTGGCATACCTGTACCTTGCTCCATTTCCCCGTCCAAGAAATATCTATCAAACGTAACCTTTAAGTGCCAGGCACTACGAAGTGTCATGGGATGCTAAGTGGAACAGTTTACCCAGGGGGAGTCACGTAAGAACGCCATGCCTTAGAGGCGTTACAAAAAGTGGACAGCTTAGGATTCTACACAAGCCTTAATGAAGGATACCATATATAGTCGAGTATAAGCCGACCCGAATATCAGCCGATGCACCTAGTTTTACCACAAATGCATTAACAATGTGCTGAACACTGGGCTTATACTTGAGTGTATATGGTAATTAAAGAAAGCTTCCTAAAAGAGATGACACGTGGACTGAGTGGACAAAAAGGATGTACAAGTGTCTGCGAGGAGGACCGATTACTATGCACACAGCCTTCTGCTGGGGTGTAGATGGGGAGGTACAGAGGGGAAAGTATGGATTTACAATTCCCCAACTGTAATAAGCAAATCACTTTATAGCCCATCATAAGTACTGCTCGCGAAAGCAATTTTTAAACTGGAAACTGCTACATAATTTTAAGGTATCAGTAGTAAGTTTCTAAATAACAATGTACCCTAGCCACCTTTTGAAGAAAATTGGCCACAGGAATGATCAAACTCCACCTCTTTATAAAAAACTTTAAATCATTTTATTGGGGGTCTTACATATATTAAAATGATCTATAAATCAATTACATCAAGCACTCTTGTGCTTATGCTGCCATAATCATTTTCAGAACACTATCTTTCTACTTGAGCCCTTTATTATCAGCTCCTCCTTTTTCCCTCCCTCCTCCACCCTCCCGCCCTTGTGAACCCTTGATAAATTATATATTATTATTGTTTCATATTTTACACTGTCCGCTGTATCCCTTCACCCATGTTTCTGTTGTCCGTGCCCCCTAGGGGACGATACCCATCATTGCTATCGGTTCCCCCTTTCTCCCCCTCCTCCCCCTACCCTGATGGTGTTGATATTCCCATCACTGTTTCTGAGGGGTTTATCTATCCTGGCTTCTGTGTCAGACCCTTTTAAAGAGACATACAAAGAGTAAAAATTTAACTTTAAAAATTATATTTTATCTATAATGCTGTCAAATTTGGGCTTTATGATTTACGGCTCAGCTTATCTCTACACACACACACACACACACACACACACACACACACACATAGTTAAACACCGAGCAGAGACTTCACATGCACATTTAAAATGTGCGTGCAAAAGGTTTTTATGGAGTGTCTCTCACCCACGTTTCCAGCGACTTGCTAAAACCACAGATGCTGTACAGAGAGAGCCCTGCTGGCATCGCGGGTTTATGTGTGGGGCTGCTGACTGCGAGGCTTTCTGTTTCCTTAAAGATTTTCCGCCTTGGAAACCCAAAGGGGCAGTTCTTCTCTGTCCTACGAAGTCACTATGAATTGGAATTGACTCAGCCGTGGGGTTCGGTTGGTGCTATCTTCGTTTACTGGCTAACTCAAAGAATATTCTAGCTTGTGCATGTACTGGTGCTAACAACAGCTGAGGGAAAGTGCAATTCTGAGAGTCACCAACACGGAGAGAAGAGAGTTGGGCAGTGGTGAGAAGAGACACAGTCTCAGTGAAAAGGACGATGGTGTGATTTCGGGAAAGACTTTCTGGCTATGCAGGCACGAGGAGGCCAGTGAAATCTCAACTCGGAACAGAATGACAACAGGACAGGACAACTGGACAAAATCCTCAAAGCGACCACCTCGGGTACTGGAAGTCAAGCAAAGCTAGGTAAGTAGAGAGAGTTCTTGGAAAAGTCAAAAGCATAAGGAAGCTACAAGCACAGCGCTCGCTTGAGGCTGCTCCCAAACTCCACCCCCACCCCCACCCACTGAAGGGGCTCACTGGAGTGATGGGGAGAGTGTCAGAAAACTCACTGCCTGGTCTGCTCAAGTTGGCAACCTTATAGAAACCTACCCAGAAAGACGGAGCTCTGGCTTGAGGTTGTAGTCAAACTGGGGTGAGTGGTGAATCAGTAAGCAATCTGGGAAGGGACATGCTCTCCTCACTTCCTGTCTGACTGTCCAACTAAATGGAGGAGACAAGAGAAGTCCCAACAGAAAGAAAAGCCCAGGCAGAACCTGACATGGGCTCCCAAGCCGAGAGAGAGATGGATTAGGAAAAGGGGTCAACTTGCCATGCCCCACCATCTGCCCATGGCGATAGCCGTTGTGCACTGCTGGGGTGAGTGACTCATGGTGACCCCATGTGACCAAAGGAGAACTGCCCTACAGGGTTTCTAAGCTGTAACCTTCTCGGGAACAAGGCGCCAGGTTGGACTCACCAACCTTTGGGTCAGCAGGCCAGTGCTTTAGCTGATGTGCCACCAGGGCTCCTTTGGTGATGACAAGCACCTTTGAATCGCACCACCCCGTGAGGTTGGCAATATTACCATTTACTTATGAGAAAGCCAAGAAAGAGGAAGACCAAATAACTAATCTTTCTGAGGAGGGGCCAACTTGGACTCGGGCCCAAGCCATCTGGCAGCAGAACTGGATGTAGTGATGAGGGAAATAAAGAAATAATGACTCTCCTAGGTTTACCTTAAGCAGTTGGGTGACTTTATTAGTATAGTTTACTAAAGATGGGGAAAAAATTAATGCAGAAACACATTTTGGGGAGAAAATTAAAGGTGGTTTTACCAAGTTTAAAATGCCTGGTAGACATCCTGAGGGAAGATGTCAAATTGTCAATTGGATCACTGAGTTTGATATTTCAGGAAAAAGTGTGGACTAAAAATATGTGTTTGTGGGTCACTCGCCTACATGTGCTTCTTGAGTCAAGAGCCTCTTTGTGGACAGGATGTAAAATATGAGGACAAGGGGTGCCAAGACTCAGTACTGTAATACTGTGCACAGGTCAGCAGAGAGGCGCCGCACACAGAACAGCAGTGCTCAGGGGTCAGGAGAGCAGCAGACGTCCTCCTGGGAGCAGTGAGGGGAGGGGTGCCGGTGCTGCTGAAGGGACTGGCCTCCTCCTGACTGTTCTTCTCCCCCATTGCACTCACCTTGGTGTAGTGTACTGTCTGTCTCAGGCTAGGCTTTCAGCTCCTAGGTAGGGGCTGTGAGCTTTCATTCTAAATCTCTATCTTCTAATTACAATGCTTGAAGTCAAATTGTAATTAGGTAAGTACTGAATTAGTTCTAAGGGCTTTCTGGTCTGCTGAATAAGACACAGGTTTCCACATGCTGCCCCGTGGCCTCTTCGCGCACATACCGTCAGAGATCCGTTCTGTGTGCTGGGGGAGTTGCTGCTCTGCTCTGCGTGGGCTTGCGTGCTTCCGTAGAGCGTCAGGTTATGCTCACTGGTCTGGCCGGCATAGTCCTGAGTGTGTGGCACTCCATATTCTGTGGGAATTCCATTCTGTGGAGGTGGTGGGAATGGGATGGTAGTAAAAGGCTGAACCATTGCATCAGGAGTTGTTGTTGGCTCCTGGTTACCCTAAAACACAGCAAGAAAGAGAGAAAAAGTGACTTCAAATTTCCATGGCAGAGTTATTTTTAAGGTGAAAATACAGAATTTTCTGAATATTTTTTCTCTCACTGCTCAGGTAAACCAGATCCCATACTGCTCCTGGGACTGAGTAAATTTTGTTACACACAAACACAGAGATGCAGACACAACACCTCCACACACCCTATTTATGGCAATTTGTGGTTACTAGACAGGCCCACGATACCTATTACAGTTGACTAGATGTCAGAGAGTCAAAACTTTTCCTGGAGACCAAGTTTAATTAAAAAAAAAAAAAGCCAAGAAATTTCTCAAACAAAGTATGCTGCAAAAATCACTGTTGAGTTCAAACTAGTTTTGACTACTGCTATTTTGTTTAGAGTCCTCTATTCTTCCTGTGAGTCTCAAGAGGACGCTGATAGGAATGAGTTAATTTTAAACCTATAAGTCATAGCAACCAGTCACATGGCATTATAAATGGGATTCTCAAAACGAAACCACATGGACTTGTAGATTTTTAGAGCATAGGGGTTGAGAAAGGCTGAAAAATTAATCTTTGGATTTCAAGGTAGAGCTTTCTTTAACTTACTTTACTACGTTATTAAAGCAAAACAAAAACCAGACCTCTTTGAAAATGGCAAAGATCAGAGGTAGAGAAAAATGTCCCCCACCCCCAACCAAGAAAGAAATGAAGAAAGATTTTCTGAAATTACCGTCAGACTACAGGGCTATCAACACAGCTCAACTCCCTGTCACCTGCCACCATTCCCAATTGCATATCTGGGTTCCAGTGTGGTATTTGAAATATCAATAAAGAATAAACATTAGCTGTAGAAAATTATCTGAGGCTATTTAGGCTTTACAGCTCCTCTCTTCTTCTGTCTTCAAGTCCAGGTTCAAAGGAGGGTCACAGCAGGGACGAGAGACACTGTGAAACCACCACCTTCCCTTCTCAATGACCGCCTCACCTCCTACCTAGTCCATCAAATCAAAGCCATAATTTTACTGAAGATTCAAGTCAGCCAAGTCTGGAGACACTGTCCTGGGTGTGGGTGTTGGCGATGTTTACACTTAGATACCACCCCCTACCCCCCTATGTTTCAGACATCAATCCTTTAGAACATTGGTCTTTCAAACAAGGATGCAGTATTCCCTTTCTCACCCTCAATTAACCTTGACATTGCAGTTTGCCAGGGGATTCCAGGAAAGTTCAGCAGTACTATCTCGACATCAAGTCAGACTTTTAACATTAGCTTGATAGTCATTAAGCCAGTAAGTAGGACCTCAAATAGAGACCCAGTGCTGCGTACAGATACCACCACACCATTTCTTTTTTTTAAAATCATTTTACTAGGGGCTCATACAACTCATCACAGTTCATACACACATCAATTGTGTAAAGAACATTTGTACATTCATTGCCCTCATCATTCTCAAAACATTTCCTCTCCACTTAAGCCCCCCCGCATTAGGTGCTCATTTTCCCCCTCCCTCCCCGTTCCCCCCTCCCTTATGAGCCCTTGATAGTTTATAAATTATTTTGTCATATCTTCCCCTGTCTGACGTCTCCCTTCACCCACTTTTCGGTTGTCTGTCCCCCAGGGAGGAGGTCACATATAGTTCCTTGTAATCGGTTCCCTCTTTCCAACCCACTCTCCCTCTACCCCCCAGTATCGCCACTCACACCACTGGTCCTGTAGGGATCATCTGCCTTGGATTCCCTGTATTTTCAGTTCCTATCTGTACCAGTGTACATCCTCTGGTCTAGCCGGACTTGCAAGGTAGAATTCGTGTCATGATAGTGGGAGCGGGGAGGAAACATTTAGGAACTAGAGGAAAGTTGTCCCTTGCAACATCGCACCCTGACTGGCTCATCTCCTCCCCGAGACCCCTCTGCAAGGGGATCTCCAGTGGCCTACTAATGGGCTTTGGGTCTCCACTCCGCACCATTCACTATGGTAAGATTTTTTGTTCTGATGATGCCTTATACCTGATCCCTTCAACACCTCGTGGTTGCATAGGCTGGTGTGCTTCTTCCATGTGGGCTTTGTTGCTTCTGAGCTTGATGGCTCCACCACACCATTTCTATCAGTTATTCTGCATAGTCTCTTAGCTCCGCAGATAAAATAAAAGGAAGACCTAGAGCAGTTACACAGCACACCTGGATAAAATGAAACCCAAAACACATGTGCAGATGCACTGGAGATCCTCACGCTGGCTAGGGTTCACTCTGCTGTGCCCCAGACGCTTAGAACAACTAAGCTAAAAAGCTCGGTGAGAAAACAAGGCTGCTGAGTTCATCTAAACACAGCCCTTATGAACCACAGCAGGCACGTCATTTTCTCTCCTGACCCCACCCCTTCTCTGCAAAGGGAAATTATGAACCACGGGAACACGACCAGATTACAAAGTGGCTTGAAACTTCAAAAAAATGATTTCAAGCGAGTGGATCATCATCATCTGCCCTACGTGGTGGGTGGCAAAGACTACACTCATCATAAAGGTGAGAGTGAAGCAGAACAGTCCACGGTGCCTGATTTCCTCACCGTTCTGGGAGCAGCAGGTAATGACCACCTGAGGTTTTCAGTCTCTGAAACGCTTGCTGGCCATAATCCTGTGCTCCTCCAGTGTAATCAAAATCCACTTGCACAACTTTGAACCACTCTCAGACTCATAACCACGAGCTCACCAAGGTCCCCTAATAAAATGGCATTTTACTGGGAATGAAGTAACTCTTTAAACTATGTTTCCTTCTTTTCCAAGGGACCTAGGAAACTTCTGATCCAGAAGAAAGTATTTCTGCCTCTGGCATATCATCAGTTTGAAATAGATCTAGATAAATTCTAGTTAAATGTATTCACAGGCTATGCTACTTTGGCTTGAATTGAGAGGGCTTGCCAACCCATCAAATGCATGCCCCCACCCTTCCTTATAAGAAAAAAATGGGCCATTTCATGACACAGGGCCCCCAACTTAGGGTGCCACACAAAATCTCGGCCATTTGGGATCAAAGGCCAGTGTTAACCAAAGCCTGCTTTTATATTAAATTTACGACTTGAGAGAACATTGTCTACTTTGCTAGAAGGACAGTGCTTATAATAACCTTTCATTTTAGGCCCAGGCACATTTTGTAAAATAAATACTCATATTTTACTTTACTTTAATGCGGCCCCACATCACCGAAATTATCTCATTTTCTTTAAAAGGGTTTCAAACATTTCATCTCTTTAACTTGTTCACCAGACTGTTTGCATTCCTATCTTCCCTAATGTGTACCGAAAACAGAGAACCAAAGAGTACATCATCATCTTAGGACAACAGTGGCTCCATTTGATTTAGCTCGGCAACCAACCCAACAGAGCCCACAAAAATGTGCATTTTCTCAGGTGACCATAAACAACAACAAAAGGGTAGCAGTCTAGACAGAAAGGGTTCATCAAGATGTCTTCGTGTGACCTCTTTAGGTCACAGTGTCACCTTAGAGCAGCGGTCCTCAACCTATGGGTCGCGACCCCTCTGGGGATCGAATGACCCTTTCACAGGGGTCGTCTGATTCTTCATATCAGTAGCAAAATTACAGTTTTGAAGTAGCAACGAACATAAGTATATGGTTGGGGGTCACCACAGCATGAGTAACTATATTAAAGGGTTGCAGCATTAGAAAGGTTGAGAACCACTGCCTAATTTTTCTTGATTTTCTGTTCTGCTTTGACTTAGTACAAGAGAAGGGTGAGAAGAACTACCAGACCTCACTCCGAGTTCCACCTCTGCTGTGCTGGGCAAGCCGTTTACTGTTTGGGAGCTCCGGACAGCAGGTAAGGAAATGAAGTAAGGGCTAAGCAGCCCTGGTGATGCAACAGTTGGTGCTCGTTTGCCAACTGAAGCTGGCATTCATCCCCAGCAGCTGCTCTGCTGAAGAATGGACCTGGAGGTATGACCCCATTATTGAGATGGCAGCCTGGGAACCCCTATGAGTCACTGAGTCGGAATCAACCTAAAGACACACAAGAGCAGAGAATTGAACAGCTTCATGTAATACTTAATATGCATTGGTTAATACTTAATAAGGTGTAATGGGGTTAATACTTAATATGGTGTCCTGGGTAAGGGTTTGTTGCGATGCACATGGTTGGCAGTTCAAAACCAGCAGCAGCTCTGCTGGAGAAAGACTGGGCTTTCTACTCCTGTAAACAGTTATAGTCTTGGAAGCCCAGAGGGAGTCACTAAGAGTCAGCTTTGACTCAGTGGCAGGGAGAATGCCCATGGGAAAATACATAAAAAGTCAGCCACCTAACTGACCCCAGAGGAAAACCTTGGCAAATCCCTGAAAGTAGGTATTTTTACAAACCACATTCACTATTCTTTGTGATATTAAGAATCAGTAACAACAACAGCAAAAGACCCCAAATTTAAATCATGTGGAAATTAAGAAGCAAAGTTCTAAGTAAATTCTGGATCAAAGGGAAAAAAAAGTAAATGATGCGCAACCTCAACTAGTACTGAGCAGTCCCTCTTAGATGACAGCCTGGAGGGCAGAGCGAGAGCTGCAGACAGAGGAAATGGCATCTGTGTGCTTGCATTAGAAAAGGAACGATAAAGGTCGAATTAAGAGTCCAGCTAAAGGCATTAGCCAAATAATCACAAAACAGGGAAAAGGAATTACTGTAACTAGATATATTAGCCCCCCCCATAGAAATCAAATTAAAAAAATACTGTCAAACTAAATCGAACAAAGACTCTCTGGCGAAGTATTCAAATGGACTCATCTATTATTTATTCTCCTTTTTGGCCCATTTTAAACTTGTTCTAGTTTTTCTTTTGGATTATCTTATTTTGTCAGTTTTTAATTTTAGTATGTTTTTCCTTAAATGAACTCTAGGATAGGTAAATGTACAGAGACAGTAAGTGGATGAATAGTTTCTAAGGGTTATGGCAGGGGAGTTTGGGGGAATGGGAAGCTAATAGCAAGTACAAGAACAAAGAAAATG